CCCCCCCCCCCCCCCCGCCTCTTCTTACTATGTCCCGCCACCCCCTCAGTTATCACATGGCCCACAGCTCTGGTTTTTCTCCCTTATCACTTACTCCCTAGAACAACCCCATTGTGGTGGTCGGGGCTATCTCCTGCTCCTCCTGGGAAGGCGAGGGTAGGCTTAGGTACCAAAGGACACGGAATGGTTACAGGGAGAAAGAAGACTCCCTCACACCCATTGTGTCTGTGAGGAGGTTGCACCTGTGGACGCTGATGTAGTCATAGGCACCATTTGTTAAGCCATGCTCTATGTAGGGCATGGGGCGAACACTGTTCTATTCAAACCTCAGAACAGAGCTATGGGGTAGACACAATCTGTTCTAGCATTGAAATTACTGGAGCACAGTGAGGCAAAGTAGGTTTCCCTAGGGAACACAGGCAGCATTTGAACACTGTCTGACTCCATGTCACTGGACAACGTTGCCTGGAGCTGAGAGAATCAGCTTCTGCTCCCTTCTTGGCCCCCCCGGTGACTATGACCTTGGGCAGTTCACCTCTTCTCTGGGCCTTTGTACTCTCCTTGGTAAGGAAACCTTGTAATTTCTCTTCCAAGCTGGGACACTTGATAGTGAAAGAGACATAAACCAGGATGTCACTGAGCAAATTAGTCCCAGTGGTGCCTGAATTCACCCGTTGGATGGTGGTTAGTGCTGTGCTGGTGTGGCTGGGGGTGTTGGTTGTGGGGTTGGTGCTGGTGGTGTTGGTGCTACTGCTGGTGCAGCTGGTGCTGCTAATGCTGGGTGCTGGTGCTGCTGGTGCTGGTGCTGTTAGTGGTGGTGCTGGTGGTGTTGGTGGTGGTGGTGCTAGTGCTGATGCTGGCGCTCCTGATGCTGGTGCTGTAGTGGTGATGATGCTGGTGTGCTGGTGCTGGTCTCCTTGTGCTGCTGGTGCTGGTGGTAGTCCTTCTACCTTGGCTCCTCCAGTTTTCCCTTTGCATTTGCGTGAGCAGTTTGCATTTCTGCTGATAGCACGGGAGCTTGGTCTGATCTCCTCTCACAAATCTGTTCTCAGCTGCTTGGAAGAACGCATTTCTCCTCAAGCCTTGTTATCCCAGACTGCTGCTAGAGCAGACCTGGGCTGCCTTTTTTTACTTGATTGACAGCACACACTCTGGTCCTGGGGGCTGCCCTCTCACCCACACAGACATCTCAGCTAGGATTCCTGGAGACCTGGAGATGACTTGATTTTAGTCCACGGTGATCCTCCCTAAATTTGCAATATTCATGATGAAGTGACTGCACAGCTTGGTCTGAAGCTAGATTGAAAACAAAAAGAATCCCAAAATAAGCGCTTTATAATCCTATAATTCTACTTGAATCGACTGGCTACTGATCTCGGTCCTGCCAACTCTTTTATATTTATTGAGTACCCAAAGTTTTTCAATTAACCCTGTATTACTTCCTGAGATTGAATTATGAAATAGCAAATATTCCTACTATGTAGTCAGTTGATGACTTATTCATTCATTTTTTTCATTCATTTCTCAATAAATTGAGGATAATATTACCTACCCCGTGAGTTATTTGTGAAAATTAAATGAGAACATATTGAAGGGTTTAATTCAGTGCCTGGAGTATAATATGTACTTAAGGGATATTAGCTATTTTTAAATAAAATGTTAAAATGGAATTAGACGATCAAAACATAGGCATAAAAAATAAAAATATTGAATTTGAGTGAATTACTAAAATTTAACATTAAATTTGGCTCTGAGCTTCCTAGTTAGCACAACATGCTGAGTAAGTTATATTTGTGTCTAAATTAAGGATTTTCAAACTTTTTCTATCAGAGACTAGAGAGTAAATATTTTCAGCTTAGTCAGTTCTGCCTTTATATCTGGAAAGCAGCCATTCGCAATATATAAATGAGTGGGTGTGGCCTTGTTCCAATAAAACTTTATTTACAAGAACTGGCAACGAGCCTATAAGCTATAGTTTGTCTTTGATCTAAATGAAGGGAACCAAGAAACTTTCAGAGAAAGTTCTGGATCAAAACACTAAAAACAATTTCTTGCAAGATGTAATATTTATATGAGACTTGTTAAGCAACATATGGACAGTGCTTTCATTAGGGTTTTACAGAAAATATAGAAGGCTTTTTACACAGCTAGTTCTCTTACTGTTCAGTTAGCCAACATTTTTTGAGGGTCTGCTATGCCCTAGGCTCTGATATTGGCCCATAATAAAACCAAAAGGCATGTGCATTTTGGCAGGGGCTGCTGCACTGGCAAGGGGTGATCTCAGTGACAACTTAGGGAGGTCAGTTGAGAGTGTTTTCAGTGTTGGGTGCACTGTCCAGTTCCTGAATTGTACTCCGGTCTCAATGCTAATTTGAGTGGGCTTTTGGTCTGGAAGGCCTGGGCTCCAGGCACAGTGACTCAGTGTTCTACCTCATAGAGTGGCTGTGTCATACAAGATCCTTGCCCTCTTTGACTGATGGCTGCAGTTATTGGGAGTGTGTGATCTTTGGAGCAAAGCTAAACCAGACTTTGAAGCTTTGCTTTTTGTAGCTATGTGACCTTGTTTAAGTTCCTTAACCTCTCTGAACCTCATTTTCCTTATCTGCAAACTGTAACGCCTCTTAATCTCTAGTTCTTACACCAGTGCTGGCCAGCGAATATTTGCTCTCTAAATGTTAGTTTCTCCCCATGGGGGGCTGGGTAGCTGCGGGCCTCACCCCATGAAGCTGAGCATTCAGTGTAAGAAGGGTTGAGAAAACACTGGCCTGTGGAATTCCGGAGTTAATGAAGAAAGCAGATTCCAGGAGGGTCTGTTTGACCTCCCACCCTTTCCCCAACCCCCTGTTATCCCTGAGCGAGTTTGGAGGCCAGTGAAAGTTTATAGTCACTGCACGAAAGAACTCTCATGCAGTGGGGTGGGACTGTGGCCTTGACCACTGGCAGTCTACAGGGCTGGTTAATTTGAGAGAGGCATTGGGAGCAATGAGGCAGGAGATCTTGGGAAGAGGGCAGTGTATTTATTCTGATAAAGTTGGGAATGATTCTCAGCTATCCCAAGGAGGAGCAGAGTAGGGGGCTGTGTGAGAAGTTTGAAAGAAGACCCA